GCTTTGGGAGGCCGAGGTGGGTGGATCACAAGGTCAGGAGTTCGAGACCAGCCTGACCAGCATGGTGAAACCCCATCTCTACTAAAAATACAAAAAAAGCCAGGTGTGGTGGCACACACCTGTAATCCCAGCTACTTGGGAGGCTGAGGCAGGAGAATCATCTGAACGCGGGAGGCGGAGGTTGCATTGAGTGGAGAGCACATCATTGCGCTCCAGCCTGGGCGACAGAGTGACTCCATCTCAAAAAAAAAAAAAAAAAAAAAAACATTCATTATAATTTATCTATCATCTGGGTGTTTTGCAGTCATGAAAAGATTTTCAGTCTGCCTTTTTTTTTTTTTTTTGAGACGGAGTCTCACTCTGTCACCTAGGCTGGAGTGCAGTGTTGTGATCTTAGCTCACTGCAACCACCGCCTCCCTGGTTCAAGAGATTCACTTGCCTCAGCCTTCCGAGTAGCTGGAACTACAGGTGTGTGCCACCACCCCTGGCTAATTTTTTGTATTTTTAGTAGAGACGAGGTTTCACCGTTTTAGCCAGGCTGGTCTTGATCTTCTGACCTCCCGATCTGCCTGCCTCAGCCTCCCAAAGTGCTGGGATTACAGGAGTGAACCACCGTGCCCGGCTCCCGCCTGCCATGTCTATGGCACATAGCTTTCCACCAACTTAGTGCAGGGCTGACAGTCCCATGGCTGAGATCTTGTCATTGTTCTAGGTGGGAGGATTGCAGTGCGGCCCAGAAAGGTTTGCAGTTGGCACCACCTGCATCAAAGATCATAGAGCCAAGCCGCAGGCCACAGGCCAGCCGTTCTCCCTTTGCATTCGAGAGGACTGCGAAGCTGGTGCTACCAGTCAGCCTCTTGGGCAAGGCTGCTCAGGAGAGGTGGGCCTCAGGCAAGAGAGCACAGATGGGTATTCGCGTGACAGAAGTGAGGCCTCAGCTCACCAGCTGGTAAACTGGCCTGGCAGCTTGAGATTCCACATACAGGTGTGCCTGTACCAGGCTTAGGGCCATGGAAAGTACCACCAAGGGCTGCTGGAAGTAACGGTGGGCTTTTAGGGAGAGTAGTTTGAACACTTCAAGGGTCCAAGAAATGTTCAGTATCAAAAATTCCACTTTGGGAAATTATCCTAAGGAAATAAATCATGCAAAGGAAGAACGTGCATAGGAGATGTCGTACCAGAAAACTCGAACGCGATCCAATTGCCCAATAGGAGGTGAAGAGTTAACAAATAGTGCCACTGCACTCCAGCCTGGGCAGTAGACACCCTCCCCTCCACCAAAAAAAATCACTTGAGGAGTAACGAGGAGTGTCTGAAAGCTGATGTTGGCCCTGACCACAGGCCCACTGGTGGGCTCTAAAAGCCAGTCTGGTTGGACCTCGTCCCCACAGGGCAGTGACCAGCTGCTGCAGCTGGCTTCCCAGAGAGGACAGCTCCAGGTCCGTGGGGTGCAAGGACCTCCTGCTTCATTTCCTTGGGTGCTCTTCAGGTCACGACTAGAACCAGTTGGGGCCGCTCTCTCCCGCTTCCTCAAGAATTTGGGAATTAGGGCAAGGCTAGTGTAGGGACCACCTTCCCTCCCAGTTCCATTCCAGCTTGAGGCAGAAAAGGAATATAGCCTTTTTATTGACTACTTTAAGTAGAACAAACTAGATACATATTTAACAGTTTTGGTTCGTTTATACAGTACATTAAATAAGTTATGCACAGAGTTAAGTAACAAAAGTTCCTATCGGAGTAAAATGACAAAGCACAGAAAAACCAGACTCTTAACGCATTCTGTGGGTGGTTTCACATTCATCATCCCCCTTTAAAAACCACGCATCGAGGCTTCGTTTTCCATTTATTTACATTTATTTTCTTTTATGAGTGGAGCCTTTGTAGCCTCGTCAGGAACTTGGAAAGCCACGTTAAGGGTACTGAAGGCCTCTCAGCCCAGCAGCCCTTTCAATCATTTGCCTAATACTTATTGCTGCTTCTCTGCCGACTCCAAGGTAGGGACAGGCTGTCCCTGACAGACTCCAGCGCACATGCCCTATTTGGTATAAGCATCACTGAGTGTACACTGGGCAGCCGTAGGCCCGACCAGATGGGGTCTGTGAGGGAAATTCCACGTCTCGGGCTGTGGAGGGGGAGGAGGGGACCTAAGACCCACCCCTCAGGCCTCCTAACGTTCTCCTGGCTCACGATGGAAAAGGTCACCTGCACTATCATCTTTGGAAATGAGCATGTCAATGCCCGAGGGCAAAGAGGCAGGTAGTCAATGTTTTGGTTTACAAGAACTACAGACACTCCAGAGTTGGAAGGGCCCTGTGAAGCCGCTGGTGCAGCCCCTGCCAGAATCTGGGCAGGGCTGCTCTCGACAGCTGGCCATCTGGCCCGTGCTCAACAGTCCACGCTCCGTTGGCTCTTCTTCCATTTGATTCAGTCTTGCTACCACCCAGTTCTCTGCAAACAGCTTAAAAAAAAATAATAATCTAAGGAGGTTGGTTTGGTCTTCTGACCTGGGAGCCTGGAAACCTTGTTTCTAGTTCAGTTCTGAAGAAAGCCTCCATGAAGTGTTCTATTTTCAGTGATTTATTCAATTCATAATCCTTTCTACGATTTCCAGGACAGATGGCCGTCCAGTCATTCTGAAAAGCTCACTGCCAAATGATTCCAGCTGTGTTGAGCCTTCAAATGCACTTGCCGAGATATCCTCTAGAACTACCCAGAACGTCTATACTCTTTGCAAGCAGGTGATGAGGCTGAGGCTCACTAACTCTGGGACAGGGCTGTACAAAGCAGAGTGGATTTTCTGTCTGGAAGCTGGAGCTGTCAAGTTGACACCAGTAAGAACTCCTGATGACCTTCTGGTCCAAATGGGTAAAGGAAGTCCACGCTGCAAAGAGCGGGCAGCAGCTGAGGCCAGGTGTGGATTTGTGGTGGGAAGATGTGTCCTCTTTCCAGACTGAGACCCAATGACAGATGAACCCAGCACTGCCCTAGAAGTAATCCACCTGATCTGTGACCACATGGTCACCCAACTGGGCCTGAGCGGATCTGCTAGAGCACCAGCCCCGGAACTGCAGGGCCCAGCGTGGACTGCCTGGCCTGGGCTTAAACAACTTCTTGAGTCACCTTTACTGCTGGATAGTCAGGCATGATGCAGGCAAGTGGGGACAAAAAAAA